GACAGTTTTGGGTATGACATAACTTGTACAGATCGCCAAAGGGATGGTCAGTTATCTTGTCGAATCGGCATACTGGTGATCACGTCGTAATGATTCTCATGGTGGTACAAGTACAGGTGTTTTTCGGCTTCAGGAACTGAGTAGATGAGGGCATTCAAATGTTCCTTTGAAATCACGTTGATTTGATAATCAGAGAGAGCTGCTTGGAACTGTTTGATTTCTGGGATGCCACAGGAACCAAGAGAAACACCTGCAGACTCGTGGAGTTCTCGAGCAAGGCGTGATTGCATTGCTCTGTTTGGTTTTCGGATAGCCTCATAGTGCGGGCCTTTGTCCAATTTCGCTTTGGCCACCACGATCTGGCGGGCACAGCAGAGATCATCTTTGTTTTTGACTTGTACTATGCCTCGTTTTTTCGTTAAGTAACTTTCCAAGTTCACAACGTCACGTCGTTTTCTACCGGCACCGTTGGACATTTCCACATGAACCACGTTGACGCTGACAGAGTCATCCAAAGTAAATTGATCATTGGACTGTACGACACGTTAAACAGCAGCTAGGAAACGTTCTGGGGTTAGACGATCGCGTTGTAGGAAAGGCAAGGAAATGGATTTGTCCAGCTGATGCGAGTTTAGAATCAAGCGAACTTGATCGTGGGGAGCTATATCACTCGTAAGTCGGTCAAATAAATTTTGAAATGCGCGGTTCAACGTCGACATGACGTTTGACACCCCGTGCACGTCCAACGGATTGAATTGGACAGTGTAGTCTGTACCTAAAAACCGTAACACATTATTGTACTAACCAAGTAATAGCAATCAGAAGACTATGGTTGGTAACAAGTAGCCTTAAACACGTACGTGGTTACAGTACAAGCCTTGCATTAGCGTTGGCCTACATTTTGACAGTGTAAACAGACTTTGGCATAGTCCTGGTCTTGGGGCCTGGCCTATGTCTGGAAATCTGGGCTCACTACAATACAACAATAATCATTATAGAGATTACCCAATAATATTGAATAACCCACCAGAAAAGAATACCTAATAACGGGGGGTCGTGGGTTGTACAAACAAGGCTATTTATTTGATAGTGCTATACTTTAGCTACAATTCAAATCATAAGCCCTGTAAATACTAAAGCTTAATTTGAGAGTTATGGCCATTTATAAAAAGCTTATGCGTTGGATAGGTTTGTACGTTACAAATGTACACACAAGCAATAAACACGTTTCTTATAAGACCCTGCTTACACTATACTGGATTCGCTTGTCACTGCATCTTCTTTTGCCGTTACGGAGCAATGGTTAGTAGCAACTGCTTAGTTTGACAGAATTGGCATGTTTATTTGGGTCACTGAGATTAAAAATCTTCACAGCCTTTCGATACCTACAAGATTTGACCCACTCCGATAGCAATCCGGTATAGTGTAAACGGAACCTAATAAAAACGAAACCTTACTCGCACGTAACAATCTATATATGCCACACATAACGACTGTTTAAAAATATAAAAACAGTTTAATGTGTACCTGTCGTCCTGAATTTCCTCACGTTGACTTTTTTCGCCGATTTAATAGTGAAATACTCTTCTGGTCTTTGGCGTTTTGAGGGGATGTCGTCACTGACGTGCTTTCGCTTGCTCCCTTTACCCATTTGGTTTTCTGGAGGTTGAGGCAACTGTTCGAGCTCGCACAAACCTTCGTCTTTGGCCCAGTCTTCGTTAAACTGGCGCCGTTGATATTCGGTCCAATTATCCATGAACCCATAAACAACTCCAACAGGATTCTTCCGTTCAATATCTTCAGCCATAGCATTCGTCCAGAATATAATACGCTGCTGAAGAACAGCTTCCTTCTGGTCATCAGTAAGCATAAACGACTCCATGAGAAAGTCGAGCTCACTTTCAGCCTCACAAGATTTGATCAGATCCAACATATTAATCTAGAAACATCATAAATATATTAAACTAAAATTATCGTAAACACGTATTCAAAAACAACTTAATCCAGCCTATAACTCTAAAACTATCGTAAACATATATTCAAAACGCTACGTTTCCTTACCGTTTGAGCCATTTTAAAAAACAATCCAACACAATCCACAAGAGAACACTTGAGAAACAGAGAACACTTGAGAACCGGAGAAAACGCAACAGTAAGAAATGAAATGTGTGTTTGAAACACGATATTTATAATCTCTGACAATTTGTTTGGTTGCGTTACTGTGTTGTGCCGCTAATTAATCTCATTACTGTATTGTGATGCTAATTGTCGCCTGCCACATTTGGCCCAGACTTGTCCGGGTTAATTGGTCGCGCTACCTGTCACAGTTGGCCCAGGCTTGCCCGAGTGAGGTCACATATTTTGCATAGCAATTACTTTCGACACCTAAGTTTGCATACTAATTACTTCCGTCCCCATAGTGGGGGGCTTCACTACTTTTATAGTATCGGCATTACAAAAAATTGGGGACTTCGATATGGGGACCTCAATGCAATCGCTTGTAATGAACTGGTTTGGCGGCTAAGGGTAATTCGTCAGCGTGTCGTTCTGCGTGCAGTTGCCGTGTGAACTATGCGCAGAATGGGCAATAACATCTTCCGAATACTAAACGAATAAATTCATAAGACTTCGATGCAAAGAGAACCAACTGATATACAGCTGGCTAATATCTCTGACTTAACCTACGGATCCTTGCGAAATTTCACCAATTTGGCCTCAATGTCACTTTGCAGTTTAAGTCCTGGTAGGAATACTGTGTTCAGGTTTTTCTCCTCGCAAGTTGCCGATGTGTCGAAAACATTTCGAACTTTTCTTGTGCCCTTGTCCTGTCGCACAAAAGGAAAGCGAGTCAACAACCACTCACATTCATGCAAGCTCGCGCACTTGTCTGATATGCTCTTTTTCTAAATAGTCGTAAATGACTCCGTGATAAGCCGTTGCCAATTCTAGATCTTTGAGTAACTTTCGATCTGTATAATCGATGCCAAGTAACTATTAGATATGGTTCTGCCCGTTGAAATTTAGTAATTAAATTAAAGAATATTTTGTGCTACCGTAGGGATTACCTAAAAAAGAAAGCGATTAATCTGAATTCTCGTTATTATCACGAAGCATACAAGAGATACAAAACCAAAGTTACTCGACTGATAGAGAAAACCACAGTTAATAGAATGAGAAAGATAGCCTCAGGAAAAATTGTATAGAATTACATAGGTTTCCAGCTGTTTCAACAGATTGCGATATATTTTTTTGCCTGAAACTTGTGTCATGGATGCGGAAGAGAAATTGCAGGAAGAACAAGAAATGAGGGAGGTTTTGGAGCAAGATTCAGACGAAGAACCGGAAGAAACACGCGATTTTCTGCCTGTGTTTTCAACGAGGAGTGAACAAGAGGATATTATGCCCGACGCACGTGTTTTCTACAACATAGATATTGCTCTTGAACTCATAGAAACTGACGATCAAGGAGTAGAAAATGAATTTGCAGAAGCTCTGACTGAAGTTGAAGGGTTGAAATCGTTTCCCTGTTCAAAATGCAGAAAAATATGCAAGTCTAAAGGCGGATTGACCGGGCACACTAATTCGAAACATGGCGATAGTGTTTCAATTCCTTCGACTACAACACCGCTTTGTTATGAGACCATAACTCCGATTGTGGATACGATAAAAGAAAATATTGTTAAAGAGAAGCTGTACGGGGAAAATATAAATGCTGCGGTGGAAAAGGCTATAGCGACTAAAGAATTGTTCGACGAAGTGATGCCTTTATACACAAAATATTCTCGAAGCCGAAATCAAGATAAACTTCTCCAGTCGTTTTATGGGTTAATGCCAAAGTCCGCGGAATTACTAAACTGTACGGATTCGCGAGTTGCAAACCTTGTCATGATCCACATCCCCGATCATTTGGTTGGACTTTTAAACGTGCAAAACGTTTCCCAAGAAAGAGACACAGAATCTGCACCTGACTGCAAAATTGAGCCAAGCGAACATGGTCCTCTCTCCTATATTTCAGGCAATGTAATTTCAAAGCTAAGTAGAGCATCAAAGTCTAAAGAGGAAAACAATGAACTTCAAGCCTTGTTACAGAATTTAAAATCAGAACAAGAAAACAACAGTTACATTTTAGCCCAAACAAGAGGTGGTCTTGTAACACCTTGTGAGGATATTGTAAGAATTTTACATGAAGCAGAGATTTATTTCAGAAAGGAAGTTGACAAGTCAAAGCTGGCTATTCGAAACATTCCTGTCGATGCAATCTGCTATTCCACCCTTTCCTTATCAATTGTCAAGTCATTATGGCAAAATATTGTTATGTCATCTGGTGTCAATCCATCTGGTGATACCCAGAAGTTATGCCTTGAAAACATTGTCAAACTGTATTTGAAGGTGAGATCATTCTCATATGCCAGAGACTATATCTCCCGATATAAAATAAAAGAGAAGCAAAACAAAAAGAAAGGGCTGAGAAAGGATTTGAAACAAAGTTCGGACAAGTCATAAACATGTAGACAGAACAATATAAATACGCTATGTCAATATCCTTTTTTCATGTTTATATACTTTAAATATATTATCTATATTATATTTTTTGGATTCTGGTCTTATTTTAACCATCAAGACTTAGCCTGTTAGCCAGGTCCCTAGGTCCTTTCACTTTATTCAAATTTATAGGAGTTATAGCCATGTTGAAATTTGACCTTGCGAGAATATTTTCAGATCGGAAATGAAGGGGAATTTTACAAGAATTCATCTGATTTTTTAAAAACGTTGTGATGCGTTTATCCCCTCCAGTTACTGTTCACATGCAAGATTAACGCTAATATTCTCGTTTACATGGAGATTGAACAACTTTATTTGCTTAATACGATTTTTTTATAGTTTTACGAAACTATGTTTTCAAGATGGCGACGAGAGTCTTACTTAAAATAGCTCAAGTTACTTAAAATAGCTCAAAAGTGGAACCTATCTGAAGTTCAAAAGGCATGTAAGTTGAAAGTATACCTACTAAAGTTAAGTAATCAGGAATAAAACTCGTCTGCAAGCAATTTTCTGAAAAGTTATAAATCTCCAAATTGGGTCTATTTTTAGCTGTTTGTTTACATTCGCGTGTTCGCTGATCAGCGACACTACTAATAATTAAAAAGTTAAATAAGCTGGTTTATTATCCAGGTTCTAATTTACAACATAAAAACATTAAAAATACAACCTTAACCATTCTTGGCTTATTCGCATGAATAATTTCACAACTGTTAAATATCTTTTTAATGTATAATCGGACAGTACTTTCTGTGGTTGTAGCAAATTTCAAAGCTGTCAGTATCTCTGGCTGTATATAAAAAGTGTTCGGTACTTTAACGTTTTTATTCAACTCGTCTCGTAATCTTTTTCTGTCCCTGTAAATGGAAATTTTGCCGGAAAGGTCGGACATTAATTCTTGCAGCATGGATGCAACATATTTTTGCACATAATTGATAATTGCAGTCAAAATCATAGAATAAGGTCAAAATACTGCAACCTTCCCACTTCCGCTTTTGTAGTCTGTTGTCATTTACTATTTTATTTTGACTTTTGCATTATAATTGTAGCGGTTGCCGAATTATGGAGAAATATGGCGATAAAATTTAGTTGCTTTTTTACTTTTGTAATATTTTAAATAATTGTAACAAAGCAAAAGGATGCATTTTTCGTTTGATTCACTGCATATGAACACATAAAAGTTTTGAAATTTAACTTATGTCGTCGTATTTCCCTATAATTTGTTAACCGCTACAATAACAGAAATACCGCAGTAAGAGACAGAGATTTTCAAAAAAATAGTTTTTAAAAAAGTTTTAAAAAGTTTAAAAAGTTAGATTTTTAAAAAAGTTAAAAAAATTTAAAACGGTTAAAAAAGTTAGGGTTAGGAGTTAGGGATTACTGGTTAGGAGTTAGGAGATTAGTGGTTAGGGGTTAGTGCCGCGAATTTATTATTATGATAAATTCAAAATGTGCTGCGAATTTATCATAGTGATAATTTTGGGCGTGTTTAAGAATTTACTCATATAGTAAATTCAAAGGTGGAGTTCATGCTGAACTGCAACACTAGCTTTTCAGTTATTTTTTATAGCAGCTCCTATTTTTACTTTGTGCATGCTTGTGAGTCATGGAAAAGAACTGTTCTTTTGCTGGCCTGGGGAATTTTGCATGTGGAGAAAGCCGGGGAATACAGAAAGTTGCACAAATTGGGAGTGTAATGCAGACATTTGTACTCACCCCAGCAGTTGTCACCTTACGAGGCTTAGCATCAACGAGAGTAAACTTATACTTGCCAGAGCAGGGCAGTTTTACCTACCCAGGAACAGCTGACAAACATGACTATCCAGTCTGTTATTAGATCATTTTCAATTGGGTCAAGCCAGTAGACAAATTTTGGCAACGTTGTTCACATCCGGCGTTCCTACCCAATTCACAGCTTTGGATAACTCACATGCCTAGTTACTATTATTAGTCTAGTTTACAGAAGCATAGACTGAATAGAACAAAAGTAACTAAACAGTAAATTTATGTATTATCACTTTATATTTACTGAGATTGAGGGAAACGGTGTGTTTAATTTTGTGGACCAGAGCCACTTATAGATAGTATATAAGTGTTAAAGTATGAATAATTCACCGATTATTGGAGTGGACTTAATTTGAAACCAAAACTGGATAAACTTGGAACGCCGTAAATAAAAAGTTTAAAAAATAAACTTTGAAACTTCGCGGTTGACACGCATGCGTATTGCACCCATTTTATTATTGACTGGTGAATAAATGTTTCATTGCGGGCCGGTTGCCGAACATGAGGTTTTGTGGACCGGCACCGGTGACACGGTTTTGACTAATCGGCAAATAGAAAAATTGAATTTTGGCACTAACTAACAAATGAATAAGAGTTACAGGACTATATAACAATAAGAGTTAGTTACCTTTGTTCTATTTTATGCTTTTTAAATCTAGAACCATAGTAACTAGGCATGTGTGTTATATAAAGTTGTGAATTGGGTATAAACAAACGTTACCCAAATTTGTCTAATCGAGCTAGACTTGGGTCAGTACACGCATTTTTATAAAAATAGCAACCCTTCGGCTAAACAGGATTCTGATTATCATATTGAGCGACATCAAAATCATGGGAGTTTCTGCAAAATGCATTAAACCGATATTACCTGTAGCACTATTTCATGACCTAAACATCGCACAGAGACACTTATGTAAGTTATCTACCCACATTGGTCGTTCAGACATGCACCTCCCGCCGTGGGAGCGGCAGATCAAAGTTATAATCAGGAGATTATGGTATTGTGTCAATGTATTGACGAAGTTCTTATTATGTTAATAACATTAAAAGATATCAGGGTCGTAGACACCAGCAGAATCGTTGTAACTTTACTACTGTATGTGTATATTGAAAGTGTATAATTAGTGCAAGTGTAAGTTAAGTATAAATGTAAAGCAATTCGAATTCAAGAATGTTCTGCACACGATCGCTTGTATATATTGTAATTATATTTTCAGAAAATTGTATATATTCTTTTGAACAAGCTAAAAAAGTTTAGTCATGGGTAATAAATCAGCTTATTTTAACTCTTCATTTGCTATAGTGTCGCTGATCAGCGAACACGCGAATGTAAACAAACAGCTAAAAATAGACCCAATTTGGAGATTTATAACTTTTCAGAAAATTGCTTGCAGACGAGTTTTATTCCTGCATGATTACTTAACTTTAGTAGGTATACTTTCAACTTACATGCCTTTTGAACTTCAGATAGGTGCCACTTTTGAACTAATTTAAGTAAAATATGAGCAATTTTCAGCCTCTCGTCACCATCTTGAAAACATAGTTTTGTAAAACTATAAAAAAATCGTATTAAGCAAATAAAGTTGTTCAATCTCCATGTAAACGAGAATATTAGCGTTAATCTTTCATGTGAACTGTAACTGGAGGGGATACACGCATCACAACGTTTTTAAAAAATCAGATGAATTCTTGTAAAATTCCCCTTCATTTCTGTTCTGAAAATATTCTCGCAAGGTCAAATTTCAACATGGCTATAACTCCTATAAAACAGAAAGTTGAAACGTTCTGAAAGAAGCTCGATTAACATTGACCAAAGTCTAGTTCATATGCAAAATATGAGCTAAATCTATTTTTCCTTCCCCAAACCAGTGAGTGGATTTTACTGAGAGACCCTCTTAAAGGTGTAAGGTTTTAGAAGGACAACCTTAATTGAATCAGCTGTATTAACAATTAGCATGCATGAATACAAAATGTTGTTTAATTTGCTCATGTGAATGATCCCCCTCTCGTCGGCCAGCATTGTTTATTATATAACAGTAGCAAAACCCAGACAGAGTTGCATATTTTCGTTCGGGGGGGGGGGGGATAAAAACCTGGGGGCTGGTGCTGCTTGCTTTGGCTGGGGCCTGGCAGCGCCTAGAAAGGCCAAGGAAAAAGTTTAACAAAATTTGTTTTCTAGGCCTGCATGGCGGACCATAATATTGTAATTTTACAAATTTAGTAGTAAGAATAATCAAATATGAAGCTATCAAATCAAAATATATATAATTTGTGGGGGTGCCAAAACTATTGGGGGCGGTGCCAAATGCCTCTGTGTGGGGTGTAAATCATTTCTGGGGGGGGGGGGAGGGTGCGCACTCCCCCCGAAAATCCGTGCCTGTCAAAGCCAGAAATAAAATCTAATTATATATGGCAATTTTTTAACCATTTGTATTATTCAAATATATAGGAATTCATTGTGACATGCAAATTCAATACCAGTTTTTGCAGGCCTTGAAATTTGTGTTATCCCTATATCCAGATGCATACTGGAAATCACAAGCTAAGTCTCCCGAGTGATACAGGAAAAATTCTGGTCAGAATACAGAAATGGTTTTATTAATCAAATGTGAGATACTAGATTCTAAGTTGCTGGTATCCTGTTGGATACTGCTGGAAAATTCAAATTTGAAGCCCTGATTTTTGTGTTTCGCTTTGCTACAGTGGTAGTTGTTGCTTCTATGTTGTATTATGATTAGAAAATTATTTGTTAAAATTGGACATCAGGCTGCCAGCTGTGTTTTACATGCATATTGAAAGAGACTGACATACTGTAAGGGTGCTGCATAATTTTCAGCCAGTAAAACACCAATTTATCACACTTCTCAAGGTCCGTAATCTGATGCAACAATATACTTCATGCTTTTTGAACACATTCTATACTATTTACATTGAACTCTAATATGAAATCTATATTTACATTGCTCATTACCTGTTTTACCAGTAATATAATATGCTGTTGTCACAAACATTCCTGCCATCATACTTTTCCTATTTCTTGTTTATTTAATAATAGTAAAAATGTGTGGATAAAGCAGAAAAATACAATCACATTTTATGATAAAAAGTAGGAAAAAAAGATGGCATCTCTATTCCTTACAATTTGTACAATTAGGTTTCATAATTCAGTAATGCTTCCAGTGTTTTCATCTTAATTAATATTTAAGTAGAATAGTTTCCAACAGAACTGTGAGTTTGAAAAGTTTCAGCCACATTTTCAAGTCTTTCAATTATCGTGAATGCACATGCTATATATCAATAGTCAATACCATATACAAGATAGCTAGAGCAAATATCGAACATAAAGTACAGTTAATTCTTTGAACCAAGGGCAAATTTTCATTTTTTTAAAAGGAGGGTGGAAAAATTTGAAGAGGCACCACTGAGCGAGCTTCAGCAGGGGTTACGTGTTGGTGTTAAGGAGTTTCACACAAAATAGGAGGGGTGAAGCAAAATTTTGGTAGGGTTGAACACTTAATATTAAGAGGGGTTAAAGAGATTCGCGGGGGGGGGGGGGTTTAACCCCCTTCCCAGTAAATCTGCCCATGGAAAAGATTTTGTGATTCTGTACTTTATGCCCTCTAATAACAATATGTAAGGTAGAGCACATAACAAATTCAACAATAAATAGTCAATCACTGTATATTTATAAGAAAAAACATACTTATTTTTTCTTTCTGTTTTGCACTGGCTAATCACTCACAACAAACCACTTTTTCTTTTCATATCTGCCACCAACATTTC